AGTAACTTTGTTATATCTACTAAATCTCTCATAAGGTACATAGGTACTTTCTATTGTTTCATTGATTTTGGGGGGAGAGATCTATTTTTATATATACTATTACCTGTTTAACTATTGTAATGTTTAGTTAATTTTGATATATGGGTTATGGAATTGCTCATTTCATTAATTTTCCATTCCCAGATTTTCTTGGCTGTTCTTTTGCATTTTTATCTCCCACCTGAATTCCAGAAGGTTTTTGTAGGTTAATTTTAAAAAATTCTATTGGTATTTTGATTTGGAATTGCATTGAGTTTATAGGTTAATTTGAGAACTGGTAGTGTCATAATATTGAGCCTTGTCTTACAGTTATACGATATATTCTTATTTACTCATTTCTTTCATGTTTTTCAGTAAGGTGCCCCCCTCCTCCCGCCGAGACAGAGTCTCACTCTATTGCCTGGGCTAGAGTGCCATGGCGTCAGCCTAGCTCACAGCAACCTCAAACTCCTGGGCTCAAGCGATCCTCCTGCCTCAGCCTCCCAAGTAGCTGGGACTACAGGCATGTGCCACCATGCCTGGCTAATTTTTTCTCTATATATTTTTAGTTGTCCGGCTAATTTCTTTCTATTTTTTAGTAGAGACAGGGTCTCGCTCTTGCTCAGGCTGGTCTCGAACTCCTGACCTTGAGCAATCCTCCCGCCTCAGCCTCCCAGAGTGCTAGGATTACAGGCGTGAGCCACCGCGCCCGGCCATTCAGTAAGGTTTTATAGTTTCTGTTCCATAGGTCATGCACATTTCTGTTATGTTTATTCCTATGTATTTTATAATTTTGTTGCTTTTGAGAATGGGATCTTTTATTCTCATAGGCTTATTATATACTGTCTATTTTTGTATGTTTAAACTGGCTACCTTATTAATAATTTCTTAGTTAACTATCTTAGAATTTATAGGTAGATAATGTCATCTGTAAGGAACAGTTTTGCCTCTTCTTTTCTATATTTTATTTCTTTTTCTTGTCTTAACCATTTGGCTAGGACTTTCCAGACAATGTTGAATTACAGCAGTGATCTTTTATCTTAATGAAATATAATCAATAGTGAGAAAAATGTCTGTCAACTAAAGAAAAAAGAAAGCTTTTAAAGAATTAAAGTTAGTTTTATTCAGAAGTTTTACTGAGGACTATAGCTTGGCAGCAGTTCTGTGAGACTGCTCCGGCACAATATTTCAGCTCTCTGCTTATATGCAGGCGGTGGGGGTCCAGTAAGTGCAAAATCACATCAGATTTGTTCAGAAGTTACATTAAAGCAGAATCACATCAGGATTTGGGTATAAGAGTACATCTGGTTAAAGATTATAGAGGCAGAATCACTAACCCCCTCAGACATTATCTTATGTGCAGGAAAAGGCCAGGACTAGGGTCAGGTATCTTTTAAGGAATATAGTGACTCAGGCAGGAGATTGGCGGCGGGGGGCAGTGTGTTCTATCCTGTTTTGTCTTCAAAGCATCTTTCCTCTCAGAGAGCTGCAGGGTTGTCACAGAGTCAGGGGCTTTGTGAAATTGTGCTGCTAAGCAGAAATGAGAAAACATGGCTTCTTACATTTGCTATTTTGTTTCACATTTCATAAAGTATCTTCAAAGATACCCAGCCTCCTTTTCTTCCTTCGGCATATATTAAAAGGGAATAGACATATTAAAAGAGAATAGAAACTGACTTTTATGATGTAGTTACTTAGATGTTTCAAGAACTGTGGTGTTTTGCACTTATTTTTATTTAATCCTCACAATACTCAGAGGTAGATATCATTATCTCCATTTTAGGATGATAACATTGAGATTTAGTAAACCACTGTGTAAAGGTGGGTCTTGCAGGATGTGGTGGCTCACACCCGTAATCCCAGCATGTTGGGAGGCTGAGGTGGGAGGATCACTTGAGGCCAGGAGTTCCAGACTAGCTTGGCCAACATAGTGATACCCTGTCTCTACAAAAAATTAAAAAATTGGTTGGGTACGGTGGTGGATGCCTACAGTTGTAGGTACTCTGGAGACTGAGGTGAGAGGATTGCTTGAGCCTAGGAGTTCCAGGCTGCCGTGAGCTATGACTGGGTCACTGTACTCCAGCCTGAGCAATAGAGCAAGCAAACCTTCAGAGAGATTTCTCTTTTCTCTTTTACTTCTCTCTCTCTCTCTCTTTTTTTTTTTTTTTTTTTTAAAACAGGGTCTCCCTTTGTCACCCAGGCCGAAGTGCAGAGTGACATTATCATAGTTCACTGCAACCTCAAACTCCTGGGCTCGAGTGATCCTTCCACCTCAGCTGCCTGAGTAGCTGGGACTACAGGTGCATGCCCCAGCTAATATTTCTATTTTTTGTAGAGATGGGGTCTCGATATTGCTCATGCTTGTCTCAAACTCCTGGCCTCAAGCAATCCTCCCACCTTGGCCTCCTTAAGTGCTAGGATTACCGGTGTGAGCCACCACACCCAGCTGTCTCTCTTTTACTGTATTGATAGGGACCTATAACATTGCTTTTTTGCTTTATTGTCACGTTTATATTTCACAGTTGTTATTTTTGAGTCTTTTCCATCTTGATTATTAAAAAATGAAAATTGCTTTGTAACTTTTTTATAATTAATAATTTGAAGGATGATATTAATACTTTGAGATTGTGACTATTTTGGGTGTGACTATTCTGTTCCCCCAAAACATTTTGCCCAGTGGTTTTACCATCCATGGGTAATCCTGCCTAAACCAATTATTATATTGATTATTGCAGATAAAATTTTTTTCTGAATAGACTATGTTTAATTTAAGAGAAAAGCTTACACTGAGATAGAAGAAGGACTGAATGTGGTTTTTTTTTGAGATTATTTTTGAAAGTAATTCTTACTAAGGAAAAGCTTTAAATTCTATATTTTAGAGCATAATAACATTGCATGCTTAAAGCAGTTTGTCTTCTGAAGCCCCATAGCAAAATAAAAAATACTTTTTTTCTTTTCTTTCTTTAATTCAGCTAAAACTATAAATTTTCCATTTTGGAAATCTTTGTGGTAAAGCAGACTATATTCTATTGAAGATCAGTGGTAACATAATTTATGCTAATGCTAAAATTAAACCAGAAAAAATCATTTATGCATAATTTATGCATTTGGAATGTGATATCTTTATTTTGCAGTTCGTTTTTAGCTTTGGTACTATAACAAGGATCTGGTGATTATAGAGTGTTATGAACATGGTGCTTTCCCAATTACTTAGAGAAATGTTTGTATAGAACTCCCTTAAATGCCTGGAGTCTGGAACTTAAGTAGTGATAGTTAATAAAGCATATCTCCTTCGTTGAGTCTCTTAAGGATGTGTGTACTTACGCTTTTTAAGGATTACACAAATGTTTCAGAAGTATTCCTCTTTCCTGATAAATATGTTTCAGCTCTGGAAAAATAAATAAGATTTCTGAAAAATCCTTGTCGTTTACAGATATACTTATGTATATGTTAATTTTAGGTCCGTGTGGACTTCGATAAGGAGGTCATATTTTGATGATATCTGATGATATTAATTTTTTTTCCCTTGCATTCAAAAGATATAACTTCATACTTGTTCTTTGCCAGAGAAATTTTATAGGAGCCTTTCCTTCGCTTCTGCTTTCATTCCAAAATACATTCTCCCTACCCTTATGCCCTCGTACTAGTAACCTTGAGGGAATTTTGAAAAAAAGATTGCTTTAAGGCAAGCAGGTTCTCTTTCAGTGTCATTAGAAGAAGGAACTATTTTCTGTTTTTATTTTCATTTTAAAAAATAAAATTTTAAAAATATTTATAACAATACTTTTATTTGTAAAATTTATTTTAAATTTGTTTTATATTTTATTTATTTATAAAATAAACATTATAATAAAATACTTTTACATGGTAGAAAAATTAATAATCCCTGCCATTCCGAAAGTTCTGCATAGTACATTTTCCTCCCACCTGTAGTTTCTCCTCAATCCCCAGTTCTACCACCCAGAGTTAACCACTTTTAAAATTCTGTTTTGTTTTACTGTATCTGTTGATCAATATGAACAATAGGGAATTTAGCACTTCTACATTGTATTGTCTCCTGACTATTTCAGTTTTTCTTGTGGTTACTTTTATAACTTAAATAATATACTTTTCCCTACTTTTATTTTTTTATTTTCTATTGTAAAAAACTATATAACATAAAATTTATCTTAACCATCTTTAAATGGACAGTTCAGTAGTGTTAACTTATATATTCACATTGTTGTGCAACCAATCTCCAGAACTTTCTCATCTTACAAAACTGAAACTATATATTTGTTGAACAGCTGCTCCCCATTTCTTTCTTCCCCCAGTCCCTGGCAACCACCGTTCTACTTTCTGTTTCTATGAATTTGACTACTCTAGATATCTCATATCAGTAGAATCAGGCAGTCACTTTAAAACCAATTTTCAAAACTATAATTCCTTTGGAGAAAGGTAAAAACGAGTGTGAGAGACCTAGAAATCATGCCATACAGAGAATGATTAATAGACTCATGGATGGTTAATCTGTGGAAGTCAGGGCCAAGGGACATGACTTGACCCAAGGACCATCTTTTGGATGAAGGTAGATTTTTGGGGGAGAGGAGATCTGGAATAGCAAAGCGGACGGATTTCAGTTAAATATAAGATAGAAGCTTTTCAATAATAGAGTGGAATGTAGGGTGGAATGCCTGCCAGAGGAGTAAGCTGGTAACTAACATTAATGCAAGGGTGGGATTATCATCTGTTAGAACAGTTAGGATGGGCTTCCTCAGTGAGGGGAGATTGAATTGAGGTTCTCACAAATCTGGTATTTTTATTTTTAAGTCATTATTTAATATTGATATTTTAATTTTTACTTTAGAGAGAGTTTACTGGAAGCAATACATGTAAATGCACACAAAATAGCTGAAGTCCATCAAATTTTCAGGCATTCAATAATATGTAGAGCATTATTATTTTTAATTATTTTCAAACTTAAAACTCCTTTTCTTTTTCAGGGATATCATGATAACACATTTTGAACCTTCCATCTCCTTTGAGGGCCTTTGCAATGAGGTTCGAGACATGTGTTCTTTTGACAATGAACAGCTTTTTACCATGAAATGGATAGATGAGGAAGGTGAGTGGTAAAAAGAAGTCTGCCTGTGTAAGCATTTGATTTAAAATCTTATTGTCATTTGTTTTAAAAAGATAATAAGAGTCCTAATAAATTTAAGGGGGAAAGATATATTAGAAATTTGATGCCATTATTATTTTTTCTTTAAGTATTTAAATTAAAAAGAATACTGAAGAGTACAATCTTTGTTCTGCCCTTTTTACCCCAAAATGAAGTGAAATTAACTTATTTTCAGCAATAAGATAAGCATCTCATCAAATAGTGACATTTTACTTTAATTTGGAATATGTATTGCCTTATATTTTAAGAGACTACCTATTTTTTAACTGAATATTACCATAAAGAACATGTTATGGAATGAAAGTGATTATGACAACCATTATTTCAAAGTGGTGGAAGAAACTTGATACCTCAGTGACTTGTACTCAGAAACATTTATTAAATATCTGTGTGCTAAGGATAAATATTTCCTGTCCTAAAACTCATAGTCTGATAGGGAGATGGACATGTGTATAACAAATGTGACAAATTCTGGAACATAAATGAGCAAGGACGTCAGGGAGTACAAAAGAAGCAGCAACCACATCTGCCTGAAACATCTGTAATATTTGAACTAAACCTATAACAAAGAGTAGAAGTTTTTGACATGGAAGAGGTGAGTAAAAAACCATATAGGCTGAAAAATAAACTATAAAAAAGGCACAGGGATATGAAGAACATGGTGGATGGGGAAGCACAGTAATTCACTGTATCTCAAGTGTGGGGAGTGGTGAACTTGGGCTAGATCTTTGATACTCAGTGTGTGGTCTGTTGAACTGATTAGAAATGGGGACTCTCAGGCCCCATCACAGACTACTGAATCAGAGTCTACATTTTTACAGGATCCACAGGGAAGTTGTATGGATATTAAAGTTTGAGAAGCATGGGACTATATCCCCAAAAGCTTTGCAAACATTAGACTTTATTTTACATGATGGACTGCTATTAAAATATAGTTAAAAGGTACCCTAAATATACTATTTTTGTATAATGATTTTCTGTTAATTGTAATACAAATAGAATTTCTGGGTCTTTTTTTTTTTTTTTTTTTTTTAAGATAGGGTCTTGCTCTTATTGCCCAGGGTGGAGTACAGCAGTAAGATTATAGCTCACTGCATCCTCAAACTGCTGGGCTCAAACAGTCCTCCTGCCTCAGCCTCCTAAGTAGCTAGGACTTGAGGCAAGTGTCTGGCTAAATTTGTTTTTTTTCTTAGAGATGGGGTCTTGCTGTGTTGCCCAGGCTGGTCTTGAACTCCTGGCCTCAAGCGATCCTCCCTCCTTGGTCTCCCAAAGTGCTGGGATTACAGGTGTGGCCACTGTACTTGGCCTAGAATTTCATTTTAAGAATGTTATTATAATATTTAGCTCTATATTTGAGGCCATTTCTGTGTTCCCTGATATAAAGAGCTCTGGAAAGACATCCCAACTCCAAGCTATAAGTAAATTCAAATGCATTTTCGTTTTTTAAAAGTTTTGAGAAGTTTCTCTAAAGTAATCCATGTTCACTGTTCGAGGAAAAAAAAGTAGTACAGAAATTTATGAAATTTACTACACTTGATCTTAGCCAAAAGGCCGAGAAGCAATGGTGAAATTTAAAAAGAAGTCTTTTGATTACCCTTTCTTTTCTCTTCTCTCCTCCCACACCAATCCCAGTTGAAAGAACCACTGGTAATAGCTTAGTATATATTCTTCTAGATATTTTTTATGCATCTGCAAACATGTAGGTTTCTCTAAATTATTTATTAGCATACTTTTATTAACACAAAAATTATACACAAATTGTTATGCAGTATGTTTCTTTATAATGTATATTGGACATTTTTTCATTTCAGTATACATCGATTTGCATCATTACCTTTTTTTAGCACTATATACTATTGCATATTGCAGATATTTCATGATTTATTTAATCCCTTATTGATGGACATTTTTACTGTTTCTAGTTTTTCTCTACCATAAACAGTATATAATGAACTTTTTTTTCCTCTTTTTTCTTTTTCAAGACAGAGTCTTGCTCTGTCACCCTGGGTAGAGTATGGTGTTGACATCATAATAATAGCTCATTGCAACCTAAAACTTCTGGGCTCAAGCGATCTTCCTTCCTCAGCCTCCCGAATAGCTGGGACTACAGGTGCATGCCACCATGCCTAGCTAATTTTTTCTATTTTTGGTAGAGATGGGGTCTCACTCTTGTTCAGGCTGGTTTTGAACTCCTGAGCTCAAGCCATCCTCCCACCTCAGCCTCCCAGAGTGTAGGATTACAGATGTGAGCCACGTCACCTAGCCTCTATAACGAATATTTCTAAGGGTAATTTTCGATAATGGTATGGGACTCTCTGTGTAGCACATCTGCAGAATATGTACTTTGTGAGAGTTTGTCATCAAAAAAGTTAGTAGCTAGTGAGAATTTGTCATGAAAAAAGTTAAACCAAGGCTGGGCACAGTGGCTCACACTTGTAATCCTAGCATATTGGGAGTTCGAGGTGGAAGGATCCCTTGAGGCCAGGAGTTCCAGACCAGCCTGGGCAACATAGTGAGAGCCTGTCTCTACCCCCACAAAAAAATTTAGCCAGGGGTGGTGGCATGCACCTGTAGTCCTAGCTACTATAGTCCTACGTATTGTAATCCCAGCACGGGAGGCTGAAGCAGGAGGATCGCTTGAGCCCAGTAGTTGGAGGCTGCAGTGAGCTATGATCGTGTCACTGCACGCCAGCCTGGGTGATAGAGTGAAACCCTGTTGCTAAAAAAATAAAAAATAAAATTTAAAAAGTTAAACCAAATGATAAGTATGTGAGGTAATACGTATGTTAATTAGCTTGACTTAGCCATTCCATAATGTATGCATATATCAAAACATCATGTTGTACACCATAAATATATACAATTTTTATTGGTCAATTAAAAAAATAATTTAGGCTGGGCACAGTGACTCATGCCTGTAATCCCAGCACTTCGGGAGGCTGAGGCAGGAGGTTTGCTTGAGGCCAGGAATTCAAGACCAGCCTGAGCAACATAGTGAGTCCCCATCTCTACAAAAAAATAAAAGTAAAAATTCTAGCCAGGTGTGGTGTCATGTACCTGGAGTCCCAGCTATTTAGGAGGCCGAGGTGGAAGGATCACTTGAGCCTAAGAGTTCAAGGTCACAGTGAGCTATTATTGGGCCATTGCACTCCAGCTGGGGTGACCAAGCAAGACCTGTCTCTTGGAAAAAATAATAATACTTTTTAAAAACCCAGTTTATCACACAACTGCATTGAATGAGAGGATCCTTTCACTCTTGCCCTCACCAATCTCAGATATTATGAGTCATTAATATTTTTGCAAATCTAATAAATGAACACTAGCTTGGTGTTTTAAATTTTGCATTATATAAGAGGAAGATTGAGTATCTTCATCTATTCAACCACTTTTGACCTACTATATCATAAGGTTATTTTAAATATGGTTAATTATAAATATCATGGATACCTCACAGTATGTCTTCAGCCTGAAAATGAGACTATATAATTTAACACAGTGTATAGCATATGGCTAGCATTCAATAAAATACTTCTTATCATAACCCATTGTTATTCCTATTTTAATCCTGTCCTGATCATTTCATACCATTTATTTGCCATTTATAGTTTTTTTCAGTCAAAAATTTTCAAACTATAGCACACATAGGAATCATTGGATAATACTTTTTATTAAAAGAACTTGGTTTAGAGATAATCCATTAAAAATTTTATAGTACCTTTGTATTGTCTTTGCCTGGAGAGTTTTGTTACCAGATTGTCAGGTAACTATCTCTTGTCATTTGAGTCTTAGCTCAAATGTCATATCCTCCAAGGAGCCTTCTTACCCCCATTTACTTTGTAACTTCTTACCTTATTTTTTGTCTTGTTTTCTGGTGGTGATTTTTTTTTTTTTTATTGTATGGTAGAATGTACGTTCCATGAGAGCAGAGATTTTGTCTGTTTCGTTGACATTGGAGCTCAAGTGCCTAGAGCAGTACTTAATAATAGTATATTCAAAAATATTTGTGAATTGTACAAAAGACTAGCAGCAAGCCTTTCCGTGGTTTAGTTTTACTTCAGTTATTGGAGATTTTACCACTGGGAGTTTCTGCTGTCTGGTTTTTTTTCCTTAATAGCATATTTTAATTAACAGATTCATATAGTAAATTAATTTTTTATAAATAGTCTTATGCTCTTACAATGCAATTCATCGTTCTTTCTCCCTAAATAGCTATTAAGTGTTCTAATTTTCTGGGGAAAACTATAAAACTGTAGCCTTTGCCTTGTTCAAGTAAAAGGTTAAGTTTTTCATTAAGGTCTGTTGATTCCCATGTGATCCTTCTTACCTTGCTTAATTCTGATACCCGTCTTTTCTTAATTTTAGACACACAGGCAATAGTGATTATTTTTAAATTACTTTCAATTATTTTTCAGTTGTAACTTTGTCATCTTTGTTTTCAGTCATGTAAGCATTGGGGTATGCTGATCTGGAGAAAAAAATTTCTCTAGGATCAGTCAAAGACAGGACTATAATTTGATTTCCTTGGCATATGAGAAATGCTGCTCTAGAAAACACGTTTAATTGTGGGATTTTATGTTCAAGCAAATAAAGATCATAAGCTTACTTATCTTTAAACAGACTTAAGACAACTGCCCTTTTTCCTTGTATGCAAAACCAGTCTTACTGATTTGTTTTGATGTGGAAAAACTGGTTTACTTAATCTAAGTAAACATTTTAGAATGAATAGTAGTTTTGTAACCATTATCTCCCCTCCCCCTTCCCATATACTCTTATGTTGTGAGAGAGTAGGGAATGACAAATGAGACTTTTTCTTTAAACAAATGTGACGTTTTAGTTCATATTTTTTTTGTTTCACTTTATTCTATTTATTTATTATTTATTTATTTTTTGGGATAGGATCTCTGTTGTCTGGGCTAGAGTGCTGTGGTGTCAGCCTAGCTCACAGCAGCCTCAAACTCCTGGCCTCAAGCAATCCTCCTGCCTCAGCCTCCCGAGTAGCTGGGACTACAGGTGCTTGTCACAACACCCGGCTAATTTTTTCTATTTTTAGTAGAGATGGGGTCTAGCTCTTGCTCAGGCTGGTCTCGAACTCCTGAGCTCAAGTGATCCTCCTTCCTCAGCCTCTTAGAGTGCTAGGATTACAGGCATGAGCCACCACGCCCAGCCTGTGGCAATTTTTAATTCACCACAGAAAAGCTTTCTGGAAAGTTACCGTGAACAAAGTTAGGGAAACACAAAAGTTTAGATTATAGCTGAGAAATTCAGTGTGGTCAAAGTGTACAGTAAGTTTTGAGGGTACCTGGAAAGTAAATGGGGGCCATTTAAAAAAATGTTTATTTTTGAATATGTTGTATGTATAAAATAAAATTGAGATATTAAAAAAGAGGGTAGTGAAAAGTCTAAATCTCCCTCCCTTTCTTCTTTGTCCCAAAGGCAGCCACTCTTATCAACTTACTTTGTGATAATCCAGGTACATTCTGTACATATATAAGCACTATGCCATCTATATTTTATTTCCCTTCTAGACAGTAGACAATAAATGCTGTTCTGTACTTTGATTTTTTTTAACTGAGCAGTATAACTTGAAGGTATTTCATATGAATATATGTAGAACTGCAGTTTTCTTTAAAGCCTGCATGAACGAATTAGGCGGGTGTGGTGATGTGTGTCTGTAGTCCCAGCTACTCTGGAGGCTGAGGCGGGAGTATCACTTGAGCCCAGGAGTTCAAAGATCACAGTGAGCTGTGATCCTGCCACTGTACTTCAGCCCAGGTGACAGAGTGAGACCCTGTCTCAAAAATATAATAAGAAAAATAAAATAAATAAAAAATAAATCCTCCATAAACTATTAATAGACATTTAGTTTGTTTACAACCTTTTACAATTATAAATAGTGCTATCATGGATTTCCTTGTACAAGAGTCATTTTCTACATATGCAAGTATATCTGAGGGTAAGTAAATACGTATAAGTAAAATTGCTGGCTCAAAAGGTAATGCATTTTTACAACTTATTTTTATTTTTCAGATTATAAATATATATATTCCATTTTAACCATTTTTAAGTGTACAGTTCAGTGGCATTAAATATGCTCACATTATTGTGCAGCCATCACCGTCGTCCATCTCCACAACATTTTCATCTTCTCAAACTGAAGCTCTGTACCTGTTAAACAAAAACTCTCCATTCCCCCCTCCCTAGCCCGTGGCAACTACCATTCTACTTTTTGTCTCTATGAATCTGACTACTCAATATTTGTCCTTTTGTGACTGGCTTATTTCACTTAGCATAATGTCCTCCAGGTTCATTCATATTGTAGCATGTGTCAGAATTTCCTTCCTTTTTAAGACTGAATAATATTTCTTTTTATGTGTATACCACTATTTTGTTTATCCATTTGTCAGTAAACACTTGAATTTCAACTACCGTGAATAAAGCTGCTATGAGCAAGAGTGTAGAAATATCTGTTTCAATCCCTGCTTCCGTTCTTTAGACATATACCTAGAGATGGAATCACTGCATCATATGGTAATTCTGTGTTTGAGTTTTTGAGGAACTGCCATATCTTTTTCTACATTGGCTGTACCATTTTATATTGCCTCCGTCAGTGTACAAGGGTTTCAGTTTTTCATCAACACTTGTTATTTTCTGGGGTTTTTTTAATAATAGCTATCCTAATAGATGTGAAGTGGTATCTTGTGGTTCTGATTTGTGTTTTCCTAGTGATTAATGATATTGAGCCATGCTCTTATTGGCCTATTGTATATCTTCTGTAGGGAAATGTCCTTTATCCATTTTAAAAATTAGGGTTTTTTTTTTTTTTTGGTCATTGAGTTATAAGAGTTTTTTTTACATGTTTTGAGCGTTACTCCTTTATCAGATATATCGTGCAAATATTTTCTCACATTCTGCAGGTTTTTTAAACTGTTGATAGTAGTTTAGTTTATCTATTTGATGTAGTCCAATATATCCATTTTTTTTTACTATGCTTTTGATGTCATATTCAAGAAGCCATTGCCAAACCCAATGTCATGAAGCATTTCCCCTATGTTTTCTTCTAAGAGTTTAGTAGTATTAGTTCTTACATCTAGATCTTTGATCCATTTTGAATTAATTTTCATTTATGGTGTAAGATAAAGGTCCAACTTCATTTATTTGCCTATGGATATGTCTGGATATTTTACAGAGAATTACAGAATAACCTGTAGTTTTTATAGACTGATAATGGTATTTTGATTATATTAAGGAATTTTTAGAGTAACCAGGATTTGCTCAAAATGCTATAGTGGTAAAGAGTAAGTGGGTGGGTATACAGGGGAAACAGGATTTTGTAATATGTTCGAATATTTCCAGAATAAAAAGTCAAAGAGTCGGTAAACCTGGAAAATGGTATTTTTAGAAACCTAAACACAGAGTTTCTATGAATAGTTAGAGGGCTATTTTGTCAGGTGCTATAGAGAGTTTAACTAGAACAAAGACTGAAAAGATGCTATTTTCATGACTTCTGCTACAGCAGTTTTACTGGAGTATTTGGATAAAACCTGGTAGCAGAATTTTGAAAAATGCATGAAAGGTAAGAACATGGAGAAAGCAGGATGAATCACTCTGAATATTTAGTGAAGTTGTTTCATTATAAAAGATTATAAACTTATGATTAAAAAGTACTAAAGAAAAGTATAAAATGGAAAACCAAGGACCCTACCCCCTTTTCTTTCCCCTTCTTCTCACCCATCCCCTCCAGTTTCATTCTGTAGTTTGTTTACTCCAAGTATGGCTGTGAATGAATAGAGTGGCAAGTTGAGTGGGAGAGAGATTTTTGAGAGGGAGACTCAAACATGCCTTTGCCTGAGAAGAGGTAATGGAAGGAAAGAAAAAATGGAAACGGAACTGAGGAGCCCAGAGAAGGTAAAAGGAAGTAGGGATTCAGTGGCCAAGTTGGAGAAAAGAATAGAGGCACTTTTTTCTTTGAGACAGCAGGAAAAATGACTTCATTTTTCCCTCTCAAGTAGCAGACTGAGTTCTCTGCTGATGATTGAGGTTTGGATAAGGTTGGTGGCATCCACTGTGTAGTAACCACAGGAATGAGCAAAAGAATGGCAGCATGAAGGACCTAGCTCAGGCTCCAACTATGCTCGAAATGATTTTTTCATTGAGGAATACTGTTGTCCAGGGAGATGTGCCATCTTATTAATTGCCAAAGATGACTCAGTTCTTTGGCTAGTTGGATAAGGAAGGTGTTTCCTCCTTCCCCACTTTGTGTACCTTTACTAAAACTATGCATTTACATTTAAAAACAGCTCAAGTGGGACTGTTCTTCAGCCCTGAGTACTTTGGTAGCTTTTACTTTCTGTGACTCCTTTGTTCAGGCTCTCTCATGTGAAGAAAAAGAAAAATTGACAAAATGATTACATGGAGACCTCTAATCAACCATATTGTGGCAATGGAACTATTAATACTTTTACTTCCTCTTTTAAAGAAACAAGTAGCAGAAAGCTTGCTCTTAACTATACCCATTAGTTATGTAGCAGTGACAGTTTCAAATGTGGTCAGGATAGATTCTGCTTGCTATGTTTGAATATGTACAGTGCTGAGAACAAAATGGTTTTATATATATATATATATTTTTTTTTTTTTTTTTTTTTAAATTTGGTGTCTGTCAACCTCATGTAATATTTTGTACTGAAATTTAACAGAGTTTAATTGAGCAAAGAATGATTAGCAAATCAAGCAGCCGCCCTGTGCCCCAACCAGGATAGGTTCATAGTGACCCTCGAGCTGCAGCTACAGCATGGTCAGAGAGGAATTATGGACAGAAAACGCAAGTGAGGTACAGAAACAGCTGGATTGATTACAGTTTGGCATTTGCCTTATTTGAGCACTATTTGAAAAGTTGCCCACCTATGAGTGGTTGAAGTATGGCTGTTGTGATTAGCTGAGACTTGGCTACTTGATGTAAGAGTAGGTTATGGTTTGCTATGTAGGGAGAAACATGCAGGCAGAACTTAAAATATGTAAGGAGACAGTTTTAGGCTATACTTATTTTAACTGTACAAATAAAAATGGAGGTCGGGTGTGGTGGCTCAGTACTCTGGCTCAGTATTTTGAGAGGCCACAGCAGGAGGATCGCTTGAGGCCAGGAGTACCAAACCAGCCTGGGCAACATAGGGAGACCCTGTCTCTATAAAAAATTTAAAAATTAATCAGGCATGGTGGTGCACACCTATAGTCCTAGCTACTCTGGAGGCTGAGGCAGTAAGATCGCTTGAGCCTGGAAGTTTGAGGCTGCCGTTAGCTATGATTGTGCCATTGCACTCTAGCCTGGGCAACATTGTGAGAACCTGTCTTTAAAAAAAAAAGTTATGCTACCTACTTCAGAGAATAGAATTATCTAAATAACTAATGATTTGTCCTTGTCAAATATTTCTCTGTTTATATATATAATTAGTTTTCATTGAGATATTATATTCTGGAATGTAATAGTAATTGTCACATTTAGAGATTTTAAAAAGTGAGCTTTACTCTTTGTATTTTTTAGGAGACCCGTGTACAGTATCATCTCAGTTGGAGTTAGAAGAAGCCTTTAGGCTTTATGAGCTAAACAAGGATTCTGAACTCTTGATTCATGGTAAGGAAGTAGTCATTATTATATAATTAAAGCTTCTAGAGCTATAATTTTTTTTTTAAATAACTCTTTATTCTTGACCATTTTAAAACATAATTCTGATGTTATTTTCTTAATCTCTATTGCCTCATCTCCAAGTAATTGTTCTTTTTCATAGTTTCTCAAATGTTAGAGAAGATAAAATCAATCCGCTTCTTATCTTCTTGGGAAATTTGTTATCTCTATGCATTCTTGAGTGTTAAAAATGTGATCTCTCAGTGTTTCACCGCAAGGTAAGGACAGAATTTAAGAATTGAACCTAATGAACCTGAGTTATCTCCTTACAATTTTGTAATGTATGCAAATAATGATCTCCAAAGGTAAGGGATCTTAAATGTCTTTTCTTTTGTTTAAGAGTTAATAATGAAACTATTTACATTGTACTTTACAGACATTAATATTTAACCTTTGAGATGTGGGTAGTGGTATAGAAGAAGAAACCTAAACTCAGTGATCATATAACTGGTATATTGTAGACCTGGATTATGAATCTTAGGAATTCTGATTCCAAATTTGTATTCTTTTCATTCTGCTATGCTACCCCTCAATTTTTTTTCTATGTCATACAGAACCCCCTTAATATGCTACATGTAATTTAATGTATTGGCAATATTTCATGTAACATTTTTAGGAGCTGTAGGAGACCAGACTTAGGAAATTCTTTAAAACATGAAACAAATATAATTCTTTCCTCAAGTATAATGAATTATTTCAATACCTTGTTATTATTCCTTTGTACTTTTCTTTACAGTGTATTTAAAAAACAAAACAAAAAAACAAAAAAAAACAGTTTTTTCTTGATTTTTTTTCCTACCTTTAGAATTTGACATAGTGACTCCCAAGGGATCCATGATCTAGTTTGTTGAGATCCTATTAGAGCTTTAGAAGTTATCTGTTTTTTTGTTACCTCTTTCTAGAGTAAAATTACAGTGAATGCTTAACAAAATGATTGATCAATGGTATTTAACAGTCATTTTTAAGTTTTACTGCTTTTTTAAAAAAATTCAAAATATTAAGGGGATATAAATGTTTTTGTTACATGGATACCTTAGTGTGCCTATTACCTGAGTAGTGTTCGCTGTATAGATAGGTTAGGTTTTTAACTCCCCACCCCATTTTATAGCTTTTTATACTATATCACAGATCTGTTTTCAGAAGTAAGCTTATATTTCAGCTTTAAAAAATACATATTAGGAACTGAGCTTCCTGTCTTCTGTGCTCTTTATTAAACTGTGTCTTTTATTTTATTTTTTTTTTAGAGGTGGAATCTCAGTATGTTGCCCAGGCTGGTCTTGAACTGCTGGGTTCAAGCAGTCCTCCCAGGACTACAGACATGGCCACTGTGCCTGGCTAAACTGTGCTCTTTAGTACATCGTAGATTACAAATAGCTAACTAGATGTTCATAAATACACTGTTGCTTTATATTCTACCTCATTATAAAAAATATTTTAATTAGTATGTTTATCAAGTTATAATTCCTAATTTAAAATTAAAATTTTTAGATTTTTGGTACTGTTTCTGGTATTAATTTATTCCTAAGGTTAGTATACATCTTTTTAAAACTCTAATGTTTTATGTTTCCATGTTTGTATACATTTTTATAATTTTAATTTTAATTCTTCATTGTAGCAAACTTGTCCTACTATAACAAGTATTTACGGAAATAATAGTTAATGATTTCTTTAAGGACCAAAAATTAATGATGTAACAGGGACTAGAATTAATAATTTGAGTTTCTAATGCATTGTTTATAGATATGTTTGTTTTCATAAAACCTTCTTTTCTATGGCCTCAGTAAAATGGATCACTTCAACAAATAATATTGATCGTATCTTGTCTCAAGTAAAGAGAGGGTCAGGTTGAAATCTGGGCCAATTTTTTTATGTTTGAATTTTAAATGTAATTTTAAATTTCTGTGTAATTTGTGTGTTTTAAATATGCTGTTAACCAATTTTATTTTATTTTCTTTCAGTATTCCCTTGTGTGCCAGAACGTCCTGGAATGCCCTGTCCAGGAGAAGATAGTGAGTGTTTATATACTTCATACCTTTTAAGAGTTATTATGCAGTGGCACAAGTGAAAAGAAATCAGAAATAGAACTTAGAATTCATTTGATTTCTTTTCCATTTTTCAATTTAATTTGGAATATATTAGCGACTACCTAAACTCCACTTTTGCCAGATCAAATTCAGATAGTTCTTAGTTACAAGTTAGGTAATTATCTGTTGCACATACAAAAGGAAAATTAAGTTAATTTTAAGTCTCCCTGGTTTTTAATTTTGGAAATTTTCAAACCTATGGAGAAGTTGAAATAACATTGAAAACAAGGATACCCATATATCCTTTGTCTAGATTTACCAATTGTTAACATTTTCCCTGTTTGCTTTATCTCTTCATCTGTGCACACATATATACACGCACATGTAAACATAACAAATGCACTTATTATTTTTTTATTGTGCCATTTGAGAGTAACTGACATGACACTTCACCTCTAAATACTTCAGCATGTGTCCTTAGGAATTGTTAAGGGATTGCTTTTGAATGTCTAAGCCAGTGGTTATTATTAATGAGATGAACTGAAAGAGTCAATGTATTTGTTCTGATGTAATTTAAATATGCAAACTTATGTTTGATTATAAGTTATTGCTTTTGATATATGGTATAATTTATTAATTGCGGATATTAGGCAACTCATTTTTATTTATGGTTTCTGCACATATCCGTGAATTTAGAAGGAGTAGTGGTGTTTTGCTTTGAATTAAGTGAAATTGTTCTAAACTTTTAATTGTGTGACTCTTCATCTTCCTTAAAAGAACTATGGGTATTTGTACATAATGGTAGCCATGTGCTATATAGGAAAATGGGGAAATACGAGGAATAGGTAGAACCCTAAAGCAATAGTGAAAAATGCGAGTTTGGATTTAGCTAGGAAAATTTCTCTGGGGTTCTGGTGGTGATGAATTGAAGCCAGGTAGGCTGCCTTCACAGATCTGTTGGAGCAGCAGGTATCTTCTCTTTATTCAGAGCCAGAATTTTGAAAGGCTTGCCATTGTAGCAGATCATCTTGGTTCCAGAGTCCCATCTCCAAATATATTATAGATCTATAGCATTCTTCCCAAATAAAATACAGTTTTCTAACTTACCATTATGCTTTATGCTCACTTTCACCCTTTAAAATTTACTGGTGGATATTTTGTTACTACCTCTCCCTCAGTAAAATACATATTACTAAACTAGGACATGCAGGAAAATTGATAACCACTAATGTGCTCTCTTGGCCCTTTTAATTCCTAGGCAACATTAAAATGTTTAAATTTAAGGTAAGTCAAGTTCTAGTTTATGAAAGTTTCTGAAATAGAATGTTCTTTTAGGTTAAAATGCTGTTAACAGAAACTTTCTGCTTTGGCTACTGCTAACAATATATAATTAAAAGTAAATGCACATAGCCGGGTGTGGTGGTACATGCCTGTAGTCCCAGCTACTCAGGAGGCTGAGGCAGGAGGATCACTTGAACGCAGGAGTTAGAATCCAACCTGGGCAACATAGCAAAACCTTGTCTCTTAATTTAAAAAACAAAACAAAAGTAAAAACATCTATATTTAAGGTTTTGTCTTATGCTATCTCAAGGTTTCTAATTCAGAGCATTGCAACTGGTCTTTACTATCACAACTTTAAATAGTAAACCCAATGCTATGTTTGCTTTAATGTATGAGTTCAGGAATCTAATGTAATTTTTCCGTGGTATCAACTATTATTATGGGATATAGTTATTACTAATACACAATATATTTTTAATATATAATAATGATGGACTTTACCAAAATTATGAAGGTTGACTGGATTTGAGCTTTTGGAACTTCTTTCTCCAAAAATGTTTAAGAAAAGTATTAATATAAAGACCAGTAGATGAAAGGTTATTGGGGGAGAAGATGTTCTTGTGGTACAAAATATCACTTACAGTTTACTTATAAAATGTAATATGTACCTTTACAATGAAGAGACCTAGTAATCACTACCTTTTATTAAGAAGTGATTTAACATCAGTAGTAGGAGTTGACATTCTAACATTTGTGTGCCTCATGATGTAATGCAATAAGAAATACACAACATCACGTATGTATTATTTTTGCCAAAAGTATTTAATACTCTAATCATGAGGAAACAGACAAATCCAGAATGTGGAGCATAATATCAGACAACTGCCTAGACTCTTAAAAAAAAAATTATGAAAAACAACAAACGAGGTGGAATGAATGTTTTAGAATACCTTAAAGAGACAAAAAGGCAAAATAACTAAATGCAATGCTTGAATCTTGATTGGATCCTAGATAGAAAAAAGAAACTTTGAAAGACACTTTTGAAGCAATTAGGGAAATTTGCATATGAACTGTATCTTGGGTGATACTGAATTAATGTTAATTTTCTAAGACATGGTAATGGTAGTGTGGTTATTTAGAATTAGGAGGAATATCCTTAATCTTAGGCAGTGGTTACTTAGGTATTTAGGGGTTTTTAGGTGTCTTGATGTCTGCATCTTCCAAATGATTCAGAAAAAAATATGTTTTTATAGAGGAGAAAGCAAATATGACAAAACAGTAATAATTGGTAAATCTAGGTGAAGAATGTAGGTGTTTATTCTTTTTTCTGTGGGCTTAAAATTTTTTCAAAATAAAAAGTTGGAAAATTTTTAAAAAGAAAAGCAGTAGTAGTTACTGAAACATTTATACTCCAGGGTCTTTACTTTCATCTAGTCCCTCGATGAAATACTTTTTCACATTAAGGTTTTTATCAATATGTTTTTTTTCTTGCAGTGAATATCATGAAAAAAATTACAGACTTAATTATACAGTAACTTTAACTCACACTTGCTCTTTCTTCCTTTTTTTTTGAACTATTAATCTCTCTTCAGAATCCATCTATCGCCGAGGTGCACGCCGCTGGAGAAAGCTTTATTGTGCAAATGGCCACACTTTTCAAGCCAAGCGTTTCAACAGGGTAAACTTAGTTTGTTGTATGCTGATGATTTGAGACAGCTATTTTTTTCTTTCTATTATGAAAGAAAGGTAGTTTTGTTATTAAGTCTTGTTATTCCCTTTTAAAGAAATTCTGTGACCTTATATTCCCAGTTTGCCTGGGGCAGTATGCCTGTAATTTTTTTTTAATAAATGCTTATTTCAAGTAGAAAAATTATTGTTAACACATTATCCAAATATTGTGTTCAGTTTAACAAGAATAAAACAGGACTTCTGAGAAAAGTTTACAATTAGCTATAAAATACTTAAGAATATATTTTCACATTCACAGTGGGCATTTTTGAAAAATTAATTTTGCAAATATAGCTTAGAAACAAAAATATATTTACAGTCCCAGTTAAATAAACAAGTCCTTAATTGAGGAACAATCCTCCTTCAGGATGGATAATTAGCATTTCAGAATTAGATCTGTGTAAGCATTCCTTTTAAAATAATAGTATACTTGGTTCAATCATGTAGCAGTTCAAATACCTTGTGGTTTCCCTGACACATACCATCTATTTCTTATGTCTGCTTACCCACAATTTTCTCAAGCCATTTTAATTGAGCAATTTCAATGAAATACATAACCTAAGTGGGAACCAAACTGACCGACAAATCTTTATTGTGGCAATTCTGGGTATTTCCAGCAAAATATTCTGAACAGAAAGTGACAGAAATTTCTCAGTGGCAGTTACAGAACCACGTCTTGTAATTTATAGGACTGCTATAAAGGCTTCTTCTCTTCTTTAGGCATATCTGTTTTTAGGTTTGAAACATTGCTTTTGAATCTTTTACTGGGTTTTGTGGCATCTCAAATCCATCTGCACTGAAGCTTCTCTTGGAAAGTCTTGAATTAACATTGTCTTCATTAAATATGATTTTACTCTTTAATTATTGTATGTGTTCCCATTTCCCTCCAAACATATCAGTCCCCCTCTGCCCAGAGTGTTTACTTTGGTGGGACAGGGAAAGAGGACAACCTGAGTGAGTAGCCTCCCTGGCCCCAGAGTTTAAGTCAAATGGGCTCTGCTTCCAGGGATTTGTCAAGCAGGGAGGCCCGCCCAGGCTCTAGGAATAGCTGGGCCTGCCCCTGGCCCATGGTGGCGGCTGTGAGGCCCCTTGACTATGCAGTCCTAGTTTGTCTATAATTTTTTTGTTGTTGTTCCAGCCCAGCACAAAGCTGAATGCTTGTAATTTTTAATAGCATGTCCTTTTACTCCTAAAAAATGTTCCAGATTGGATGATTAATTATCCAACTAATATACCCTACCTATAAGAAAATTGGCTTTTCAAATATAATTCAAGGCAGCCAGAAAATAAGCAAAGTTTATTTTGTTTATTTAATGTTTTTATTTATTTAATGTTATAATTTGATTTTCACCATTTAGAAAATAATAATAGCAAACACTTACCTGGCTTTTATTGTGTACCAGGCACTTTTCCAAATGCTTTACTTATATAAACTCATTTAAGCCTTACAACAACCCTGTGCAATAGGAACTATATATTTTTATTTTATAGATGAGGAAACTGAAGCGCAAGGCAGTTAAGTAACTTGCTCAAGATGACACAGCTAGTGTCAGAGCCGAGATTTGAAAGTAAGCAGTCTGTATCTATAAGTCCATGTTTTTAACTACTATTGATAACTACAGATTTATGGATGCCAATTCCATTCTAAAACTAATGCTCTAAATTCATTAATGTAAATAGAAACCACCACCTGAGATTCCCAAACTCTTTTATTTTCAGTAGCACTCATAATTAAAGAAGGCTTTGAAATGAAAAGGTAGCTTAGGTATTGCTCTTAGGAAAGCAGGGCTTTGCTTTGACCTCTGACCAGTCTGGAAGGTTATGTTTGCTTAGGAGTCTTTAACTGGCTTTTTCTGCCATATGTATTTCTAGTTTAATTCACTTTTCCTGTTTTCATTACGCTGAACTTAATTATGTGAAGTCTGAAAATTTTTGGACTTAGCAATATGGTCACAAATTTCACTGTCTCTCTAAAACACTTTCTCTTTTCTATTTATTTTTCATTGACCTTCATAGCTTTTGTAAAATGATGTATGAGGAAATTTTCTTTTGTTTTGTTTGCCATGGGCTGGAAGTTGACACCATGATGAAGGGAATTGTGTTGTAAGAAAGCCACTTATTTTCATTATTTTATAAGCAAACTGTTGGGAAATGATTGTAACCATTTTTTGTTAATAAAGTATTTAATTACTCTTTTCAGCGTGCTCACTGTGCCATCTGCACAGACCGAATTTGGGGACTTGGACGCCAGGGATATAAGTGCATCAATTGCAAGCTCCTGGTTCATAAGAAGTGCCACAAACTTGTCACAATTGAATGTGGGCGGCATTCTTTGCCACCGGTAAGACATACTTTTCTATTTTGTTCTTCAATAGAGCATGTTTGAGACGGGGGAGGTGGCTCACAGCTATAATCCTAGGACTTTGGGAGGCCAAGGTGGGAGGAAGGATTGCTTGAGGCCAGTATTCAAGACCAGCCTGAACAAGAGCGAGACCCCATTCTACAAAAAAATAGAAAAATTCTCGAGGCATGGTGGTGTGTGCCTGTGGTCCCAGCTACTGGAGAGGCTTGGGCAGGAGGATCAGTTAAGTCCAGGAGTTTGAGGTTGTAGTGAGCTATGATGATGCCACTGCACTATAGCTTGGGTGACAGAGGAAGACTTTGTCTCAAAAAAAAAAAAAAAAAGCAAAAAAACATGCTTGATAACATTACTGGAACAGAGGGCTTAAATAGGAAGGTGTGAAGGAATTATAGGACAAGAAAGTTGTTACAGAGTATTGGTAGGAACACTTTACATTCCAGTTAACATATTGTGAACTTTGGAACTTTTGAAATACCTATGGTAATATTTGTTTGTAGGATATAGTTAACTTCTTTGTTTGACCTGCTATGAAATCCTCTGGTCTAAATTAGGAAGATGTAGGGAGAATCATTTAAGAGATTTTTTTTCCCTCTTATTTAATCTAAACTTATTAGTTTATAGCTCTCATTATTCTAGCATCTATCTTAAGCAGATAACCAGGTAAAAAGAGTTAAGTGTTTGCTGTTTAAAGTGTGAGATTACTGGAGAGAAAAGTATTTAAAATTTTTATTTTTCACTTTCTATTTTAAGTATGTAATTAAAACATATTCATTATAGAAAAAATAGGGAATACAGATCAATAAAGAAAAAAATTAAATGGAAATTCTCATAAATTCTACCATCTAGAGGTAATTGTCATTTGGTGTATATCCCTCTGCAACTTTTTCTATGCAAATTTATGTGCATAAACATTTTAAATTTTTCTGTATGGAAAAAATTTCAACATATAAGAGTGGGTGAAGCAGTATAGTGAACTTCCATGTACCAGTCACCCAGTTCCAACAGTTTTCAACTCAGGACCAATCTTGTTTTCATCTATACTCCCACCCACTTAACCTCCCTTCACCCTACCTTATTTTGAAACAAATCTCAGACAGATTTCAGTATGTACCTCTAAAACAGCGGTCCCCAACCTATTTGGCACCAGGTACTGGTTTCATAGAAGACAATTTTTCCACGGGATTGGAGGGCGGATGGTTGGAGCAGGAGCTCAGGCAGAGCTGCTGTGAATACAGATGAAGCTTTGCTCGCCACTGCTCACCTCCTGCAGTGTGCCCCCTCCATGGGGTTAAAAATTTCAGTTGTCCCATAAATGTTGTAATTTTGTTTTTATAATTTTATAGTTTTATCCTGATTATGCATCAGGATTTAAATGAAGTCCACGTTTGCAATTGATTGATGTCTCTTAGATATTTTTTAGTTTACTGGTTCCTCCTCCATCTCTCTCTCTCCCCCTCCCTCCCTCCTTTTTTTCCTTAAAATTTGATTATAGAAGAAACAGTTGTTTGTCATTTAAAGTGTTGCAGAATTTTCCTCATTACTTCTCTATTGCTGTGTTCCTCATGTTACTCTGTCTTCTTTGTTTCCTTTATATTATATAGTAGCTGGATCTAGAGGTTTGATTAGATTCTGGGGATTTGTTTTGTTTTGTTTTTTTAAGACAGAGTCTCACTCTGTCGCTGGGGCTAGAATGCAGTGGCATCATCATAGCTCACTGCAACCTCAAACTCCTGGGCTCAAGGGATCCTGCTACCTCACCCTCCTGAGTAGCTGGAAGTACAGGTGTGCATCACCACGCCTGGCTAATTTTTACTATTTCTAGTAGAGACAGGTCTCACTTGCTCAGGCTGGTCTTGAACTCTTGACCTCAAGTGATCCTCCTGTTTCAGCCTCCCGGAGTGCTAGGATTACAGTCGTGAACCACCAAGCAGACTAGGTTCTGGTTTTGTTTTTGTTTGTTTGTGGGTGGTTTTGAGACTACTTTGTAGAAGGTTGAGTGTTTATCCATCAGAAGGCACATATGTTTGGATGTGTCTTTCTTTTACATATTTTTAACAAAAGTGAGATTATATGCATACTGTTTTCTAACCCTTTTTTCCTCACTGAACAATTTATTTTGGTCATCTTTCTATATCTATCTATCTAT